TCTCCAGGTAACTCACGGTAAGCCCACCACCTGCAGGTCCATTCTCTCACCTCTAGCCCATGAGGATCCACAGCTGTAACCACTTTCTTCATTTGTACATTGCCAGTGAGGAAGACAGCTGGGAAGGAGGCCCATCTCCTCTTTTCAGAGAGAAAGGAGACATCTTTCTGAAGTCCTGTCTTCACTCTGACAGCTCACCGTCTACCAAGACCCACATAAAATAATAGCCCCGACCGTGTGCCCTCACAGGGTGTATAGACTCTGAGCCTCAAATTCAAAGGCTGACCATTACTGAGCTCAATCCTTCCCCAGGCCTGCCTTACCACGGAACATGAGCCTCTGCTGCAACCCAACTGGTCACCATAACATGCCACCCAGTTCTGCCCACACGGGGCCTTTCCTCTCACCTTCTCCCCGGCCTACACTGTCCTGCCCATGCTCCTTGCTCCGAGGCAAACCACATCAATCCTTCAAGGTCAAATGGAAGTCCCCCTCCTACATGTAATCATCCCTGATGAGTGAAGACAAGAGCTGAGTGAGCCCAGGTAAAGTCCTGCAGCACTCACTGTGTACAGATCATTCAATGCCTCTCAACCAGCTGGTGAGCTCTGTGTGTCCTTGAGGACAGAAGCCACATGTTAGGTTTCTGGTCTTTCCCACAGTGAGGAGCACAACAGTGCTGTATACCCACCTGATGGGCACTCTCTTGATAGCTGCTGGCAGTGGATGGCCTGCCTAAAATGCAGCAACCACAGAGGAGGCGACCTCATGAGCTAAGCAATGGGAAGGAAGAAAATGAATAGGTACTAAATCCTCACCTGGTAGGATATGCTGTAGGATAAGCACTGGATTGCTAGCTGCAAGGTCAGCGGTTCAAACCCACCAGCCACTCCTCAGAAACCCTACACAAGGTTACTATGAGTCGGAACCAACTCGACAGCACTTACCAACAACAAACCCCCATGAATATCACATTGAATCTCTGTCCTTTAACAAATAAGGTCTCATTCACCCTTGCAACAATCTAATTTGTTGTTGTTGTTGTTGTTGTTAGGTGCCATCGAGTCGGTACCAACTCAGAGCAGCCCCATGCACAGCAGAATGAAACACTGCCAGATCCTGGGCCAACCTCACTACTGTTGCCACACTTTAGTCCATCGATGCTGCCACTTGGCCAGTCCATCTCACTGGGGGTCTTCCTCTTTTTCTCTGACCCTCCACCTTACCAAATATGATATCCTTCTCCAGTGACTGGTCCCTCCTGACAATATGTCCAAAGTATGAGAGACAAAGTTTGGCTATCTTGGCCTTCAAGGAACACTCTAGCTGCACTTCTTCCAAAATGGATCTATTGGTTCTTTTGGCAGCCCATGACACTTTCAATATTCTCTTCCAACACCATAACTCAAAAGCATCAATTCTTCTATGGTCTTCCTTATTCACCGTCCAGCTTTCACATGCATATGAGGTTGCTGAAAATATCGTGGCTTGGGTCAGGCGCACCTTAGTCCTCAAGCTGACATCTTTGCTCTTCAACACTTTAAAAAGCTCTTGTGCAGCAGATTTGCCTAATGCAATACATCTTATTAGGTGGGTATTATCAGTACATTTTTATAGACGAGGAAACTGAGGCCCGCTGTTGGGAATGGTTAAGAGACTTCCGAATCATAGACAGTAAGCTGTGGAGCCAGAACTTGAACCAATATCACTTGTCTTTCCCAAATCTTGTAAATGGAAAACTTCTGTTCTCTCCTACTCCACTGCTGCTAGCTACCCTGGGTAATGCTGATCTCAGTCTGGCCTTTGGTCCCTTTTCCATTACCCACTGAGTGGCTGTCCTGTTGCTAAAGGAGAAACCTGAGGAGACAGTGGTCAAGTCCCTTCCTCCAGGAGTTCCAGACTCCAGGTCTCCAAACTCCAGCTGGAACCTGTTTCAAACTAGCCCTTTCCCTCCTCTGCACCTTTGTTTTCTTCTAGCTGGGCTCCAGCGACTGTCTGATGTGGACCTGACACAGCTGGCCCGCCCTATAGGGCTAGGTATTTGCTAAACAGGCTGGGCTGGTGGAAGCTCACTGTTTTCTCATGGTGACAAGGGACTAGAGGGAGAGGAAACAGGCATATGTCTGTTTCTCATGGTGACAAGGGACTAGAGGGAGAGGAAACACAGGCATATGTCTGTTTCTCATGGTGACAAGGGACTAGAGGGAGAGGAAACAGGAAACATGTCACCAGGGGCAGTAAAACTCTTGTGTAGGCCTGACCCATCACACCAGCAACACTCTATCCTCCCCCTCCGACTCTCACCGCTGCTGTGGGCAACAAACAAGGCAAAGGCAGGCTCCAGTCCCCAGTAAGCAGAAAAGCTGGCTCTCTCTCTTTTTCTCACCTTTTGACAGCCAGGCTGACCTCTGTGGTCAGCTCTGCTTTCCATAATGTGGCTCCAATACCCACAGGCATACTTGGCTTTCTGTGAGCCAGAAATCTCTGGAGATCAGGAATCTGTTTAAGTAGTGTCTCCTAACACTGGAGCAATTTATTAGTAAATTATACAAAATCAATTTAGTGACTCACAGCCAGCACTTACAACAACAAAAATATGAACATAACAGGATACACAAATACCAATATGTACAGCATTTAGTAAGAGAAAGTATTGCTATATGAAACTTTTTAGTGATGACAGGTACCAATTTCAAGATCTCAGTGCAAAATGTGAAAGAAAGCCAAGGCATTAGAGTCAGAGCACAGACCCGCCAATAGCTTGAGTCACTGCCCCACGGCTGGAGTGCTGAGGACTGGTCACCGAGTGTCCTTCCCCAGCTCAGACTGAATGGCAGGTTCCTCAGGAGAGGCAGGGAAGGTTTTGCTGAGGAAAGGCATATGGAGATCTTATGAAATGGGCAGATGACGATCAGACTGGCCCAGCCAGGTGCCGCCTGTCTGCAGGCAGGGGAAGGTCAACAAGAACAGTGAAGGGCCCTCCCAGCAACTGTACACCAGCACCTCTCCCACAGCTAGCTGGGTGGCTAAGATGATTCATCACGTATGGCACTCATGCTGCGTGTGCTGCGTGACTTGCACAGGTGCTAGGAGCTTCTGGATATCCCAACTGCCTGGACTGCCTCCTTCCCACCCACGCGGCTGCGCTCCTCCTAGGCAGAAACAGAAAGCCCAGGTGTCACACCCCACAGAGCCTCGGCAGGCCATGGTAGCGATGGCATGCTTTCCGCGGGCTGGATCCCTGTGCTGGGTCCTCACTAGCAGAGTACCAGCCTGCTGCCATAATGGTTTTCCCTTAGTTCCCACTCAAGGTTGCTTCAGCAAAAGGGACAGAGTGCCTGGAAACTGTGTGTTTTCAGTCTCTACCTCTGAGCAGGAGTCCTGGTGTGGTGCTGTAGGATAAGCAGTTGTCAACAAGGTCATTTTGAACCACAAGGTCGGCAGTTCAAATTCACCAGCCGCTCCTTGGAAACCCTATACAGGTTGCTATGAGTTGGAATCGACTCGATGGCATTTAACAACAACAATCTTTGGGCAGAGGAATGGAACAATGGAACTGCCAGGAAGGCCTTTCATTTTAAAAAGATGAATGAGTAGCCAGCTCTCTGTTACCACCTCTAAGCAATGTACCAATAGGTGCTGCCTTACACACTGTTACTCAGACCAGCCTGGTACCAACGAAACCTCAGGCCTGGCCCTAAATGTCACCAACAGTCTAGGAAGGAAGTTCTATTGGGCCATGGAAACCCTGTACCTAGCAGGGTTTTACTGGGAGCAAGGGACAGAAAGGTCACATGGAATTAGAGCTGGACATTCTTGGAGAAGCCAGCAGCCTTGCTTCAGGTGAATTCTCTTGGACTAATCAGGCTGAGATGTGGCTCAAGTTTCTGCTTGGAACTTGAGGCTCCTGAGCTCAGAGATATCCTGTTTCAGGGACAACAGCTGGCATTTCTGCTCTCAAAGGCATTTTCTGATTGGTTTTATTGGTTGTAGAGGAAACTGCTATTCCTAGATACCATTCTAGGAAGATTTATTTACTTATAGCTAGAGGTGAGAGCATTGCCCCTGTCCCTGCCAGTTTCTCAAGAGATGTAGAGAAAACCAACCCTTTGGGATCTCTAATTTGGAAGACAATCAATTGGATGACAGCCAAGCCTGAGCCCTGGGGAGGGCCCAGACTACAACTGCAATAGCTTTGCTGCTCTGGGCTTTCCATGACCTTCTACGTAAGAGCTTTGGTAGTTGTTCAGATATTAATTAAGCTACTGATGCCCCAAGGGGGGCAGATGGGCAGGCTGGCAGGAATCGCCAAACTGGGGTGACAGAGCCCTCATGCTTTGGGTGTGATGCCACTAATGCCAGGGATCCCTGCTGCCTGAGGCACTGGCATGCTGACGGTAGGGTAAGGCTGCTCTGATAGGTCACCTCTAAGCTACTCATGGCTGTGGGTACAAGACACTTACCTGATCAAGATGAGGTTTACTGGTATTTCCAGGCTCTCTTTCTGGGGGATCCACTAGACCCCTTGAGTCTAGTCCTGCCCACAGATGGTCAGAGTCTGAGTTCTGGTTTTACAGGGTTAGAGCAGACCCCTGAGGTCAGGAGGTTAGTTGGGAGAGAAATTGGAAAGGGGTCCTGGAAAATGGGAGCTCTCAACCAGCCCAGAAGATAATCACTTCACAACTCAAATCCAAGCAGTTGAAATCCAACATTGTGTACACACACACACACACACACACACACACACACCATGTCTTTTCCTTCTAAAGGGCAGAATTTCCCACACCAAATAAACTTTTCTTTTCTGTCCTCCAATTCACATCCTTTTCTGGCTCTAAATCAAGTGTTTCATCAAGCAGAAGAACCCAAGGGCTGTGATTTAAACCAATCAAATCCAGAAACAGAGCTCGACAGCCCGGGCAGATGCCAGGGAAACACGGGGCAGCTGGTGATATGCTCCTCCAGAACCTCCCTGCCCACTTCCCCTCCTTGTCACACACCCGCACAGTTGGGAAGCCCAGGATGTTGAAGTCTCTGCAGACTGCGCTGTTGGCTTCATCAGCACAGTCCATGGCAGCGAGAGTCAGTGCTGGCCTCCAGTCTGAAAGGACAAAGGAGACTGGGGTAAGCAAGAGGGATGTGTCTGCTTCCCTCCCCATGGAACACTCCACCCCACTCCCAACTGCTCCACAACACCTGACCCCAAAGCTCTTCTGGGAAAGGTCACACCTGCATCAGAAGAAAGCCAGTGAGATAGCCCAGTTACTCTGCACCCACCCAGAGGCTCACATGAGGGACCCATACTTAGAACACAGTTAAATACACAAGTCAAACTGTCTGTGTTCCTCCATTACTCTACCACCAAACTAAGCACAATTTTATTTCCATCCCAACCGACTGAGGTGCCAATGTGTTCTGTCCCTCATTGGTCTACCCAGTCACTAAGTGATCTTTGCCACTTGTGAGTTCTTCCTGGAGGGTCAGGACTTAAACCCACAGTACTCTGGGGCCGATGAGAAGTGGAGAGAAGTTGGGAGCTTGCCCAGCATGGAGATTCATAGGCCCCTACCTTCCACCTGGAGCATATGCCCCAGGTAGAGAGGGGAGGAGTGAGACTTGCACAGGCAGCCCACTAACTCTCAACAACTACAGAATGCTAATACCTGAATAACATCCCTGAGAATCAGTTTTGCCAGGACCTCTTACTCCATCCTAGAACCTATTCCTGAGATGTCTGCAAAACGCTATTTCAGACGGCATTAGGAGTTTTACCCTCGGAAGGAGTGTCACCCTCACTTCTATGAAAGAGATGCTGGACCTGTCCTAGACCCATCTGGCCCATCCCTCAAAGGACAGGCTCTAAAAGGTTCAGAGCAACCCTGCTCACCACCCCCAGGGGCTAACACTCAGAAGTCCTGAGACAACACCCACCCACCCACTCCTCTTCCCTCCTCCTAGCTTCCCTTTCTCCTTCGCACTGAAGTTTCTGGAATCCTGGCACGAGGATTTGTAGGTGTTGGTGTGTTAGGGAGAGATGGGAAAGAGGTTCTCAAGTATTTAGCAGACACAGGTAAGTCACATCCTATCAGACCACTTCCCTCAGACCTATATCTCACCAACCCCCTTGTATAGTGCGAATTCTCTCGATTCCCCTAGCACATAGGGCTTTCGAGCTCACTTAGAGAGTAGCCTGCACACATGGTGGGTACTGGGCAGGACAGCAGCTTTCCTTCCCTACTTGACATACTCCATGTCTCTCCCATCCACCCTGCCACAGCTGGCACTCTTTGGTAAGGCCGGGTTGGGTATCTGCCCATATTGATGTGCTAATCCCACCCAGCCCCCCCGAGTCTTCCCCACCATCCTTACCCCCATTTCTGCTTTCCTGTCCTAGGTCAGTGTGGACACCAGATCTGGATTCCATCTTCAGCTCACCTCTAACCTCTCACATCTCACCTCCAGGTCCAGTGATTCTTTGCTGAGTGTCTTATGGCAGGACCTCTTCAGACAAACATAAACATCTTATTTCCCTCCTGACTGAGGTTCTGACAGTCTCCATCTGCCTCTCACTGGTCTAACCCAGCCACCAAGTGATCTTTTCCATGTTTAAATTGGATTAACTTGCTCTCTACTCAATGTTCTTTGGTGGTTCCCAGTGCCTTTATAAGAAAACCTAGTCATGAGGTCATTCTTGATCTGGTCCCTGCCCCACCATCTAGCCTCTTCCCTTCCTGTGTCATTGTTGTTGGTTCCAACTCATAGCAACCCCGTATAGGGTTTATAAGCAGTGGCTTGTGAGTTTGAACCGCCATTCTTGCACTTCAAACTAATCTTGAGGTGCAGTGCTTATCTTACAGCACCACCCTTAGATTAGCTCTAGGGAGGCTGAACATTTTTCCTCTCCTGAAAACATAAGCTTTCTCTCATGTCTCCATGCCACACCTCATAAGAAAGAGCCTCCCCACACGTCACCCTTGCCCTCCCAACAAACTCTCATTTGTCAGGTTTGAAAACAGTCACCTTACAAGCCCCAGGCTCAGGGACCCTGCTCCCATTTCTACTACTCAGTTACAAGTGTATTCATCCATAAATGTCTTTTCATTTTTGCATCCTCACTGACTAGCATCCGTAGTACCCAGCACAACGGTAGGTGTTCAGTGAATAGGTGTTTATTGAATTATCCAGGAACCCTTCTCTCAGCAGCTCTATGCTCAACCTCCAATTATATCCTCAGGTCCAGGTAGGGGTGAGGTTAAAGCCAATCACCTGAGAATGCAGGTATTGCACCTGAGAAGGCATCAAGGCAAAAGCAAGACCGCCGAAGAGAATAGTTCCTCACTGCCTTTGGAAGACTTTCTTCTATTACCAAACTGCCTGGATTCTGCAAGGGCCAGGAGGAGAAGGAAATAAGGGACTCCCTGGAAAACGCAGGGGCAGGGAGAACACAAGTTCCAAGAGGTAAGGCAAAAGCACGGAAGGACTTCTTCCTGTGACCCTCCTCACCCAAGGGAAGCCCAGAGGAAGGTGGAAACACAGTTCACCTTCTAGGACCATCTGGCACACTCTAAGCTTGGCTCCTTCTGTTTGCTCACACTGTTTTGGGGCGACACAAGGGAAAAGCTCCGGGACCAAGTGCAACCAGTCCCAGCAAGGGAAAAGGAGATGTCAAAGAAAACTGTCTGGGACAAGGTTAAACAGTCATTGTTACAAGGGGATAAGCACTTGACTACTAGCATAAAGGTTGGGAATTCAAACCCACTCAGAGGTGCCTCGGAAGACAAGGCTTGGCAATGTTCTTCTGAAAGGTGACAGCCTGAAAACCCCAGGGAGCAGTGCTGCTCTGCACACCTGGGGTCACCAGGAATCAGAGTCAACTCAATGGCCACAACAAGAGAGAAAGTACTGGAGGGTGTTTGTGGAGTTGGTCACTGGGATGGGTGAATGATTTACTGGGTTTGCAATTAGAACCATTTGACTTGGAATGCCCTTTAAAAAAAAAAAAAAGAAAGAAATATCCTGGAATCAGGCTACCTGGATTCTGGAAGGAGCAGGGGAAAGGGAAATAAGGGACTCCCTGGGTAGGCACTGGGATAACACAGGATTGGAGGGAGAAAGGTTAGGGAGATAAGGCAGGAAGAAGTCTGTCTAAATTTTAGTCAAGCTGAGGGGAACATTAAGGCTGTGCTGGTCAGACATCTTTGAAATAAATCTGTGTGGAAAGGGGGCAAGAAGATGTGAGTGGACGACAGACAGGTATTATTTCAGTTTCACAAGCACCTATGTGCAAGGCAGGGAATCTGGGGTAGGTACTGGGGAGAGTAAAACAATGGAGGAGGTAAAGCCAGTCCAGCTCTCAAGAAGCTTGTGAAGCTCATGAAGCAATAAGTCAATTAGATGTACGGGCCTCAGAAAAGAATCAATTCCATGGCCTTCCACCAGTGAATGTCCTTGGAGAATCAAGACAGGAGGTCTCATAAGGCTGATCAGCAGGGTGACCCATGTACAGGTTACCATCCCTCAGATTCTCAGTGCCCACTACCCATTCGTTAGATTATGAGGACTTTGAAGATATGGGCAAAGGAGAGAGAGCTAGCGGTTATGCATTACACACCCATATTTTATCTCACTCGACCCTCACTTTACAAAGGAGGAAACAAACCAAGAAAGCTTCGAGTTTGCCCAAGGGTCACCAGACTTGAATGCCTGCTCTTTTCCCCACCACCAGGGTCAGCATGGCCCCTTTAGGTTTGCTGCTTGCTTCCAATCACAACCTTCCTCATGAGATGGAGAATAACAAAACAGTTCTGTCTTCTAGTGAAATGTCATTCCCTGTAACTCACAGCAGGCTTTTCACCGGCTCTTCTTATTAGATACCATTGAGTGACTTTTTGACCCATAGTGACCTCAAGTGACAGAGTCAGACTGCAACTTAAAGTTTCCCAGAGTGTAATCTTTACAGATGTAGACCACCAGCTCTTCTCCTGTGGAGCCCCTAACTGGGTTCAAGTCACCGATCTTTCTAGAGTTCTTAACCAGGCACCACCATGGTTCCTATCATCAGCTCTTACTTAGATGATAAGGATGTTATCAAACATACCAAGAGTTTATCCTGTGTCCGCTTTATCTAGTTTAATGCTCACAACAATCCTATGAGGAAGACAGGTACGTATTTATGTCTAAACAGCTTTCCTTGTCTGTAAAATGGAGATTAGGTAAGCATGCCTAAGAGGTCACACAACTGATCTATGGGCACTCTGAATGTGACCCCAGGACTCAAACCTCTAAATCAGTCTTAAGAGGCCTCAGGACAGAACAGAGAGTGGTTCTATTAGAGAACCAGGACTCAGTGCAGGGAGGGATGGACTACCTACCTCTGATGTGGAGTGAGAGTCTAGGTTGTGCCTGGGAGTTCTCAGATCTGTGCCTATTGGCTGTCTTTGCCTCGTTCTCTTTATGCCTTGCTTCCCTGTATCCTGTGTGAAATGGAACCAGAGCCTCTGCTCCCTGCTCCAGCCCCAAGGGGAGGTGGAAATGGAGGCTGAGGGCAGTCAGGTGCTGGGAGAGTCCTGGCTGAGGAATGTTTCTCAGCAATATCAATGTCAATGCTTTAATGAGCCATAATCACATCTAAAGGTCTGGGTTGCCACTAATCATGTGGAACTGACTATTCATCATTCTAGTAACAATACTAGGAATAGAGAGGACCCTTATCTGAGCACTCCACTGGTAAAACAAGCCTGCTTTTCAGGCTTACATTGTTGTCTAAGAAAACCAAACTGCAGGAAAGGGGCCTTGTTAAAGTGTCAGATGAATTATATACTGTGATCCTGAAGGCCCCAACATCAAAATGACCTGCAGTGTCTGTCCAGCCCTACTCTGAAGTCAAGATTATATATGAAAATATTAAAATGGCCTGTAAAGGCCCTAAGCAATATGCCTGGTAAAGAGCATATAGAAAATAATTGCTTGAGTGAAGGCCTTGGGTGACCAGATTACCCCCTCTGACTTCTCTTGCCTGAGTTCCTACTATAAACAATGGCTGATGCAACTAGTGGTCTCTCCCTGTCTAGAGCAAAGAAGAGTGAAGAAATCAAAGACTCGAGGAAACAGTTAGCCCAAAGGACTAATGGACTGTGGTGCTGTGGGATAAAGCAATAGACTGCAAGGTTGGCCTGAACCATAAGGTCAGCGGTTCAAACTCACCAGCTGCTCCTCAGAAACCCTATACAGGGGCCCACTATGAGCTGGAACTGATTTGACGGCACTTAACAACAACAATGAACCACACCCTCCACTACTGTGAAGCCAGAAGAACTAGATGGTGCCCTGATACCACTACCTACTGCTCTGATCAGGATCACAATAGAACGCTCAGGACAGGGAAGGAGGAAAAAAAAAAAAAAAAATTCAGAATCATAAAGACCCAAAATCACTGGTCTGATAAAGACTGGTAGAACTCCCAAGACTGATCTTTAGACATCCTTCAAGCCTGGAACTGAACTCACCCCCAGGGATCAATTTTCAGCTAAACAATAGTCTATAAAGTGACTAATAATACCAAGGAGGGACGTGCTACTTAGAACAATCAACCACTCAAGAGCAAAAGTATGGCACTGTCCCCAGAGCAGAGCTCAGAAGGCAGGAAGGGGCAGGAAGGAATGAGAATGGTAACCAGGAGCCGAGGGAGGAAGTGGGAAGAGTGCTGTTACATTGGAGGTTTGCAACCAATGTCACAAAGCATGTATAAATTGTTGAATGGAAGGCAATTTGCTCTGTAAACTTTCACCCAAATTATAATAAAAACTTTAAAAAGAAAAAGAAATGGAGGAACACTCCTTTGATTCTTTTCAAACATAGCTTCTTTCGCATGCCAGTTTTCCTGCTGTGTGTAGCTCATTTCCCCTAACAGCAATGTAAACAATGCATTGAATACAGAGGTCACACAACAAATGTTTGCTGATTGATTAGCTAGTAGATAGTGAAGTTTCAAACTGAACACACAGAATTTCCCAACATATGGTGAGACACTTAAAGCTGCTCTTGCATAAAAAAAGGGTGATAAACAAGTGCCCTGCCCCAAGGAAACAACTTCCCAGAGAACCTAGGCCCCAAATCACTAAAGAAATGAGTTCTATGCACTTCAGATTCTCAAAACCAGGTGGTCAGGATTGCTTTCTCCCCATGTCTTAACTTTTCATGATCTTGCTGCTCCCACCCCAAGGTGTTCCCTACCAGCAACAGAGCATATGCCACATTCCCACAAGTCCAGCAGCCCTGAGCCATCCCGCAATCAAACTTTCTCAAGAAACTTCAGAATACAAAGAAAGGGTGAGAGACAGCTCATAGCGGGTGGCCCCTGGCTTCTCAGCTACTTCTCACCAGAAACCTCACATTGGACTGGGAGTAGGAGGACTTCTCAACACTGTTCAGACCTGACACCAGATTTTGCCAGTGCTATGCTGCAACATGATCACGCTCAGGAAGGAAGACCCCCCAATTTCCACCTAAATCTTCAGTGGTTCATCTCCACAGATGCTGATGTAGTTGTTGTTGTGGTTTGTTTGTTTTTTAAAGAGAAGAGCTGTCTCTAGATGTACTGGGGGAAAGGCTCCTTTTGGAAGAAGCAGCTGTCATTCAGGAGCAGACTGGATCAGTATCTAGGTGTACAATTCATTAGAAAAATCTGGGTTGCAAGAGGTCAAACAAGTGAGTTAACTGGAAATCAACCTTTCCCTCTAGCACCCTCAAGACAGAATTGGATTCATTCTAGAATGAGTCCACTTAGGATTATTTAAGACCCCTCGTAGCCTCATAGCAGAAACAGATCTAGGAATCTGTATGATGTTCAGGTCTATGTGCCCCTTGGTGTTCCAGTTCCATGTCTGACATTTTTCTTCCCTTCCTGTGCTGACCCATCATGCATTGTCATCACTGAAATAGTATAAAGAGCTGCTCAGAGATGGTGCATTTGTGATGGAACCCGAAGGCGTGTGAGCAAGTATCTACATAGAGATTGAAGGTGAGATGGTTTATAAATCTTGTTTAAAAATCACTTTCCAGCACCATACAGCCAAAAGATATGCACACATAGAGCCACTTCAGTAATCCCTTTGAAAGCTGCTTAATGAAAGATTGAGTTTGAAAACCAACATCCACAAATGAGCTACACTACCACATACAGTTGAGTTTATCAAGAAGTACCAACAGCACAGCAAAGGAACAAAGATGGCATTTTCTGTTCTCCAGAAAGAAGCTTATTCCTTAAGATAGGCATAGTCTTCACTCAGTGACCCTTTCAGGTGGATCTCAGCACCATAATCAGGAAGCAGTACTGTTCAGAGAGGAAGCAACCCAGAAGCAAATCATTTACTACCCGTGGGCTAGTGAGTCAGACTGCAAATTCGTTTGAACTGCAATGTCAGCAGTTCAAGTTTACCAGCTGCTCCTTGGAAACTCTATACAGGGTCGTTATAGGTCAGAATCGACTCGACGGCACTTAACAACAACAATGTGTCAAACTGTAAAGTCATTTGAACTGCAAGTTGGGTGGTTCAAGCTCACCAGCTGCTCCTTGGAAACCCTATACAGGGTCGCTATGGGCACTTAACAAAAAAATTAAAATACCACTATTGGAGTCCTGGTGTGGTATTGTGGGTTAATGCACTGGACTGCAAAGTCAGTTTGATTTGTAAGGTCGGAGGTTCAAATTCTCCAGCTGCTCCTCAGAAACCCTATTCAGGGTTGCTATGGGTCAGAACTGACTTGACTGCACTTAACAACATATAACTCTTACTCACTATACCACTCCTGCTCCCCAAATATCCACTAGGTAGATGTTTGAAATTGTTGTTGTCAAGTACGGTCGAGTTGGTTCCAACTCATAGTTTGCAGTCCAGTGTTGATCCTACAGCACCACAACAGGAGTCCATTTGAAATCGTTGTTGTAGTTGTTAAGCGCCATCAAGTCGGTTTTGACCCACAGCAACCATGTCTAGGATTTCCGAGGAGCAGCTGGTGAGTTTGAACCACCTACCTTGTGGTTTAAACCAGCTTTGCACTCTAGCGCGTTAACCCACAGCGCCACACCAAGACTCATAGGGATCTTTAAATTGTGGAAGCTAACGCTTAGGTAATATACGTCAAGTACTTATTCAGTATGCAGTCTGACACATAATAAGCATTCAAGAATATACCAGTTCTTACTTTTACCATAATAGCACTACCTTTTTTTCACTGTAATTAAATATAAAAACAACGTTTATGTAATAGACACATCTTAAAATCTATATACAGTTAGTGATTTTCTTATTCTTCTGAAGAGCCCTGGTGGCACAGTGGTGGCTCAGCTGCTACCAAAACATCAGTGGGTTTGAACCCACTAGCCGCTCTGAGGGAGGAAGATATGGCAGCCAGCTTAAGTAAAGACAGTTGTTGCTGTTAAGTGCAATCGCGTCAGTTCCAACTCATAGCCACCATGTATAGGGTTTTCGAAAAGAAGCTGATGAGCTTGAACCAGCGCTGCTCTTACAGTTTGCAGTCCAGCATTAACCCACAGCACTACCTGGAAACCCTATGGAGTTTTCACTCTGTCCTATTGTGTTGCTGATCTGGTGCTGCAGGATAATACACTGGACTGAAAGGTCGGTTTGAACTGCAGAGTCAACGTTTCAAATCCACAAACCACTCCTTGGAAACCCTATACAGGGTCGCTATGAGTTGTGACCGACTTGACGGCATTTAACAACATAAAGTCGCTGAGCCCTGGTATGGCGCTGTAGGATAAGCACTGGAACCAACTCGACAGCACTTAACAACAAGTAACTACAAAGGTTCACAGTTCAAACCCACCAACAGCTCTAGGAAACCCCATACAGGGTCACTATGATGCAGAATCAACTCAATGGTACACAACAACATAGGGTCTCCATTAGTTTGATTCAATGGCAGTGGGATTTTTTTTCCCCCTCATTCCTATCCCTCAGGCTATTATTATATGCAATTGGTCTCTCACAAAAGAAAAAAAAAAAGGATAGAGTCTTAGAATTAAGGAAATATGGTGTTAGTATTCAGGTCAGGAAATGCGTACATTCTTGAGAGTAAGGCCCAAAAGGAACGCTGCCCTCAGTCAGGCCTCTGGGTTCATGGGGTTAAAACAGAAGGATCTGAGAGACGGTGAATGGACAAGAAGGAAAAGGAAACTAAGGAACCCAGAAACTAAGGAGCTGTGGGCAGCAGGCCTGGTGAGACCTGGAACAGCGACAGGAAAATTCTACCAGGTGAGTGGAGTCATCTCAAAGATAAAAATGAGGCGAAGTCTATGTACCAGATGTGTCACTAGCTGACGGGGGTGGGGAAAGATAATGATTGGGGTGGCAGAAGGAGTGGCAGGTTCCTTGTCTACCCAGCAGTGACCCCATAGCTTGGCAGGAAGGAACTTGGCAGGAAGACCACAGAGGTCCCTGGGGAGACGAAGGGGATTGCTATAATACTGAACTAGAGCAAGCCCTTAAGGTATGAGCTGAGCAAGAGGGGGAACAAAGGAGATTCCCTACCTACTCCCACCGTCAGAGAGGGGGCAGTAACTGGGTCTGTTACAGGGAGAAGGCGCTACCAGAGAAAGCAGAGCAGAAGGTCAGGCGGGGACCTGGGCAGCCCGGAGGGGAGACAAGCTCCGGATTCGGGCCAAGAGGAAACCGACAAGGGGCGGGTGCCAAAAATGGAGTTGACGATGTGAGACTGGGAGGGGTGAGAGAGGAAGCGGGAGTGAAGCCAGAGGTGATGGGAAGCCGGCAGCGCGCTCAGAGCACCCGGCAGGTGGAAGAAGCCGACCTGGAGAGCGAGTGCCGTTCAGGTTTCTCACCTTTGACGTCGTTAGCCAGCGCCTTCCAAGTCGGGGCGAAGGCGATGCAGTGGCCGCACCAGGACGCGAAGAACTCCACCGCCCAGGCGCTGCGAGAGCCCAGCACTGCGCCGCGCACCGTGTCCGCCTGCAGCAGCGTCAGCGGGTCGGAGAGCGAGTACAGCGCCGAGCGCCTAGATGCGCCCGCGCCGGACACCGCCATCAGCAGTAGCAACAGCAAAGGCAGTAGCAACAGAAGCGGTGGTCCCGAGTTCAGGCCCGCGGCCGCCAAGCGGCTGCCGCGCCTCCACATCCTCGGCGGCTGCGCTCTAGGCCAACCACCGCATACAAGTTTCGAACCAGTCTGCCTCTGCGACTCCTCCAGCCTCCGCCCGTGAGGAGGAGCCATGTGGCCCCGCCCCTATGCCCCACCCCCAAGCACCACCCTCCTTCCCGCCCCATCAGATCGATGCCAGAGCCGGTGAGTGGGCGTGGACAGGACAGTGCGTCGAAGCCTGGCCTCGCGTGGCAACTCCACCCTTCGCATCCGTCCAGGCCTCAGAACCACGATGCCGGGCCTCTGCCTAAGGCCCCAGGAGGCAAAGAGCATAGCCAAATCCCTGGTACCTTCAATGTAATGAAAATAGTGGGGCATCCGCAAAGCCGAGGCCTAGATCACAGGTTTGGTTGCTGCACTTGACCAGGAAGATTATTTGGCCTCTAGCGACCCCCGTATCTTAGGGAGCAGAAATAAATTATACTGATTTGTGTTGTAGTCGGCAGCTCTGGTTGCGTAGTGGTTACGAATCGGGCTGCTAACCTCCAGGTTGGCAGTTCGATACTACCAGTTGTTGCATGGGAGAAAGATGAGGTTTTCTGCTCCCGTAAAGATTTAGAGCCTCGGAAACCCTGTGCAGGATCACTATGAGTCGGAACCCACTCCACGGTACTTAACAATAACAACAGGCAAGTTATGGGGATCCAGAAAGCAGCAAAACTTTGAGTTAGATTGTTGATGTGTATTGTCAAGTTGGTTCATTTCATAGTGACCCTGTATAGGGTTTCCAAGGAGCAGCTGGTGGATTTCAACTGCTAACCTTGTGGTTAACAGTCCAGTGTTTATTTTACAGCGCCACACCAGCAGGTGGTAAAGAAAGAAGTGGGACTGGTAATGGTGGTAATGACTTTCCTGCCCCGACCGGCCAGGACAGCTATGACCCCACAGGTATCAGGCCAGCTAAAGGGTAAACATTTGGAGGATTCCTGATCCCAAATAAACAGTCCCCTCCCACCTTAACCTTGGCTGGATCCTCCAGGCTGTGGTGGAGCCAGTGTTTTCTTCGGCACACAAGCCTGTCCATCCTAATAAGATTTTTAGGGGCATATGTTGCAGCTCTGGCCCATTTTCCATTTATTCCTTCTGTATGCCCGGTTCCTTCTATTGGAGTTCTCATTATCCCGAGCTACCCTCTTCCACGCTGCCAATCTGCCCCACCACCTCCCACATTTAACCCTTCAGCCTACTTACAGCTCTTTATTCACACTTACACGTTTCTAGAACTAGCCAGATCAACTGATCTTATGTTCATATGAACTAAGGTATTTAATAGGTTTTCCCTGTTGGAGCTCCAAACCTGTGAGGTAAGTGAGCTATTTTAAGAATAGAAAGTGCTCCTCCATGGGTAATCTTTTTCCTTTGTGGCTGTTGGGTTAACCCACCTCATCTGTAAGCACTTGGTGGCCAGATGTTACCCATTCATTCATTCATTTATTCACTCAACAACCATTTACAGAGTGGTTTCTTTGTTCCAAGCATTACTCTCAACAAAGAAAAGGCAATAGACAAAACAAAGTACTTAATTCTAATGGGGATAGAATCATCTCTGTCTAGCAAGGGTCAGATAGTGGCAAATGTTATGAAGAAATAGAGAGTGGGTGCTATTTTAGACCCACACCTAATATTTACAGGGCCCAGGATACCAGTACAAGTAGTGGCAGTGGTGGTTGTGGGCCACCAGGTCAGTTCCAACACATAGGGACCCTGATAGGGTTTCAGAGGCTGTAAATCCTTACGGGTGCAGAAAGCCTCATCTTTCTCCCAGCAGTACAATTAGAGGTCCATATACTGTATATTCACGTTTTAAAATTGTAAATCAAGTGCATAAACATGTATGCTAAATTTTTATCCTTTTACCTGGTTGCTAATCAAAAGGTTGATGGTTTGAACCCACCCACTGCTTCACTGGAGAAAAATGTGGAATTCTGTTTCCATAAAGATTTACAGCCTTGGCAACCCTATGGAGACAGTTCTACTCTGTTCTACAGGGTCATTATATAAAAGACCAAAGACCAGCCCCATCGTTGTCAACTCAAGTCCCATCCATGGCAACCCTGTGATAATGTGGAAGGCCAAATTTAGAATTTTTTAATTCTCCCAGCATGACTACTGAAGAGTTTTGGCTTTGAGGCAAGCAAATACATCTGGGCCCTCAGCCTTCCCTGCTTCTCTTTGTATCCCAGTTCTGTCCCACATGTCAAGGAGCCTTGGGCCCACACCTGTAATACATGTCTGCACATGCAAGTTCTGTCTACAGCTCTGCAAATAGTCACTCCTTAGCCCCTAAAAAGGATGCTTTTATGTTGTTGAGGTACATCCGTACATAGGGTTTCCAAGGCTGTAAGTCTTTATGGGAGAAGAAAACCTCATCTTTTCAGCTTACTCCTGTAGAGTGACTAGTGGATTTGAACTGCTGACCTTGTGCTTATCCTACAGTTCCGCCATCACTCCTCTAAACAGGATTGTTGTTGTTGTGTATTGTTGAGTGGGTTCGGACTCAAAGCTACCCTATATAGGGTTTCCAAAAGTGACTGGTGTGTTTGAACTGTCAATTTTGTGGTTACCAGTCCAGTACTTATCCTACAGCACCATACTAGGACTCCTAAAGAGGATATTGTTGTTAAGTGCCTTTGAGTCAGTTCTGTATAGGGTTTCCGAGGAACAGCTGGTGAATTTGAACTGCTGGCCTTGCAGTTCATACCAACCTTGCAGTCCAGTGCACTATCCCACAGCACCATACCATAACTCCCCTAAAGAGAAGAGCCCCTGGGGAAAGGCCCATGCAGCCTCTGGAAACTTATCTGATGCCATTGGGGCAGTGATTTCTCAGGTTCCAGGTACCCCAATAGGGTATAAGAATAGGGAGAGGCGAGTGATTTGCGTGGGCATATTTTCTTGGCCCACGGACTTCTTGCTCCATAGAAAAGAGGGTGGCTGGAGGAGAGCTCAGAGTTCAAGGTAAGTCTTTGTTGCCCTGATCTTAGGGAAGCTCTAATGTAACATTCAAGCAAAGACAGAAATGAAGTGTGGGAAGAAGTCTTGTGGTAAAGTGGAATGGCAGGAAGAGGTATGGGGACTGGAGCTTTTGCTTCTTTAATGGGCTCATATTCTCTCCGTCCAGTGTCTTGAACTGTATAAAGAAATTATGTTGACCTATTGTAGTGTTACTATGGCATTCTAGGATTGGCACTGGACTGTGCACTGCAAGAACAGCAGTTCAAACTCACCAGCTGCTCCTTGGAAACCTTATACAGGGTCGCTGTGAGTTGGAACCAACTTGACAGCACTTAACAGCAACAAAATTGTGATGTTGGCGTCCTGGTATGGTGCTGTGGGATAAAGCACTGAACCACAAGCTTGGTTTAAACTCACCATTGGCTCCTTGGAAACTGTACAGGGTCTCTATGAGTCATAGCAGACTCAATAGCACTACAACAATTGTAGTGTTATATCCTCACCCATAGTCAATTACAGTTGTTGAGACCACCTCCCTGGAATCAATCCCTGTACAGGTTCTGCTACCCCACTTTGCTCCTGTCTAGCAGTCAGTTGGAACAGGTCCAGCCCATGGGAATTAGGATGGATAGTCTCCTAGTAATCTTGGAGTCTAGGGGCTGGATGTACTCCAGTAGCTGGATCTGGTGTTCAAAGTCACTTGCCTTCAAATGTCTCTATAATTAAACAGTGTTATAGTTATCTTCTCCAGGGCCCTGGAAATTGTGGAGATAATGTCTGCTCAATATGCTGAACTTCTGGGAAAGACACCCCAGATAAGACAAGTGTTCTCTCGTTCATGCATCTGTTTTAGAGCACCAAAAATGGAAAAGAGATGCTAGGTTTTTGGCCTACCAACTTTGTTTTCTCCTTTAGGACAGATTCTCAGTCAGCCTAAAAAGTGCCAGACCTTGATTCCTCTCTTCGTGTTTATTTGAGCTAGAGGTACAGCAGCAGCACTATGTCTTGTATCTACCATTATTTAATCCAGATAGCAGTTGAGACAGCAAGAATAGCCTAGAACCATGGAATAAATGGGTCCCAGTGATTAATACAAGTTCTACTCAGGGGATATGGATTACAGCAAACTAGAAAAAGAAGGGCCTCACTTTTAAATGAAATGTTTTCCTATCAAGTTGCTTAGAATAAAGGTCTTCCAGTAGCCAATTTCCCACTTAACCAAGATAGCTATCCTCCCTAAATGCATGAAATCATGCTGGAGTTGACACTGAGTAATAAATACCTGAAACTTGAAACAAATAAAAAATGGAAAAGAATACAGACTCTCTGAATGGAGTAGAGAAACTTTCTTGGTAATGAGGCCTTTCAGTGTCTTAGAACAGGGACGTTCAAGTTTTTAAAGTCTTGGAAGTCTTTGTTCAAACAGAATTTTGAAAGGAAGCTTGAACAGATAATACCCACTTTCTGTGTTTAGGGGTTGGGGTGGGGCTTCTTGGAATTCCTAGGGCTCCCCAAGCCAGCGCTTGAAAACCAATAGTCTGGAATTGAGAGCAATAAAGTTAAGAATTACAATTTGCCCTGTTTGCCTTTTTGGAGCTTCTTGGGATGAAAAGGTTCCAAAGAAAGACATTTACGTAAGAATGGGGTATGGAGAGGAGAAGGGGCATGGAGGGATATATTGGAAGTGGAAAGACGTAGCAATTTTAATCTAGATCCCCTTTCCTGCCCTTCTACACACAAATTGTAGGAAAGTAGGTCATGATGAATCAGATGAGAAGATAATAGTAATCGCTAACCCGTTCTAAGTACTTAGAGAGGTTACTCATTTAATCTTCTTCTCAAGTCTGTGAGATTGATAGTATTATTATCCATTTTTACAGATGGGAAGACTGAGATAGAGGAAATTCCAATGGCTTTCCCACAGGTGCATCATTCATGTGTTCTGCATTGAATAAGAGAGAATTTGGGAGTCTGGAAACTAAAAATGAGATAGATGGTGGGAAGAATGCAACTTCTGCACA